ATGCCTGTAACCTGTTGTTAGGCATAATCCATCTGTTACATACATGTACGTTGGCATTCGGGTACGTCTGCGTAGAACTGGGCTGCAACTATGAAGAACAGCAATTATTAAATTTTTGAGTTGTGCAAACAAGCAACGTTCGCGCACACGTAGTCATACCATGAAACTAATCAGTGCCCAATTGATAATAATTATTTATTGAGTTCTCTTAATACCTAAAGCCAAATCTGATCAATGCTGATCGTAGAGTGGTGGTCGAGATTTTTTACTGGTGGAAATAAATTCGTTTGTTCCAGTGTAAAACAAGTAAAAGTTCGCACGTCCGCGTTACAACGGGCTATACAATAATTGTATTGAGAACACAACCAGCTAAGGAAGTGTAGTACTTGCAATTACCCTAACGGTTTCTTCCTAGCATTGTACACGAAGTACCATGAAGTAAGCGGAGATCATAATTAAAACTTTAAAAAAAGCATACATGTGCACGTGTGCAGGTGGCATGTCTGCACTTATGCATTCATCTCATCAGCACGCGCAGTGGGCAGCGCAATACAGTAAAACCTGTAACTAAAGACCACCGTGACTAGCGACCAGCCTGGTACTACCGACCACTTCGCCACGCACGGACGGTCTCACATTCATTATGGTTGTGCGGTGTAAACCTCTAACTAAGGACCACCTGCCGCTAAAGACCGATTTCGCTGGCCCCAAGGGGTGGGCGTTAGTTGCAGGTTTTACTGTGCGAGTTTAGACATGACGTGACCCTGACTTCCCAACTGATGGCAAAAGTATAGCAGCAAGAGTGCATCGGTCCCTAGGCTAGAGTGTCGAACTCCGCGTGAACCTCCGTCACGACTCACTTTCAGAAGCATGCCCTTTTTCGCGATGTAATATGACTGACTGTACACAAAACAGCATTGGGTACAGACTGCCAGTCAACCTTGCATCTAAAATGCACGCACAGAGCTGGCTACACTCAACCCTGTATCTAAAATCCATGCACAGATCTGGCTACACTCAACCCTGTCTCTAAAATGCACACACAGAGCTGGCTACTCTCAACCCTGTCTCTAAAATGCACACACAGAGCTGGCTACACTCCACCCTGTCTCTAAAATGCACACACAGAGCTGGCTACACTCCACCCTGTCTCTAAAATGCACACACAGAGCTGGCTACACTCCACCCTGTCTCTAAAATGCACACACAGAGCTGGCTACACTCAACCTTGCACACACAGATCTGGCTACACTCCACCCTGTCTCTAAAATGCACACACAGATCTGGCTACACTCCACCCTGCCTCTAAAATGCACACACAGAGCTGGCTACACGCAACCCTGTCTCTAAAATGCACACACAGAGCTGGCTACACTCAACCCTGTCTCTAAAAATGCACACACAGACCTGGCTACACTCCACCCTGTCTCTAAAATGCACACACACAGCTGGCTACACTCAACCCTGTCTCTAAAATCCATGCGCAGAGCTGGCTACACTCCACCCTGCCTCTAAAATGCACACACACAGCTGGCTACACTCCACCCTGTCTCTAAAATGCACACACAGAGCTGGCTACACTCAACCCTGTCTCTAAAATGCACACACAGAGCTGGCTACACTCAACCCTGTCTCTAAAATGCACACACAGAGCTGGCTACACTCCACCTTGTCTCTAAAATGCACACACAGAGCTGGCTACACTCCACCCTGTATCTAAAATGCACACACAGAGCTGGCTACACTCCACCCTGTCTCTAAAATGCACACACAGAGCTGGCTACACTCCACCCTGTATCTAAAATGCACACACAGACCTGGCTACACTCAACCCTGTCTCTAAAATGCACACACAGAGCTGGCTACACTCCACCCTGTCTCTAAAATGCACACACAGAGCTGGCTACACTCAACCCTGTCTCTAAAATGCACACACAGATCTGGCTACACTCAACCCTGTCTCTAAAATGCACACACTGATCTGGCTACACTCAACCCTGTCTCTAAAATTCATGCACAGAGCTGGCTACACTCCACCCTGTCTCTAAAATCCATGCACAGATCTGGCTACACTCAACCCTGTCTCTAAAATGCATGCATAGAGCTGGCTACACTCCACCCTGTGTCTAAAATGCACACACAGAACAACAAGGGCAAGCCAGGCTAGTTTGTAGCTACTCTGATTTTCATGCTTACGCAATCATCAGGCAAAATACACGTATAAAGCTGGTTGGTGGACCTTGCCCGAAAATTCGGATAATAATTTTATTCGTTTTCAGTGATGTGTGAGTGTATTGTGAGGATGTGTATGACTGATTGTATAGTTTTAGTTATGAAGCTGGTTATATCATTAAAATGACGTCATTCTGAAAATGAGTCTTGAGGGCTGCCTATCGTCGGTTTTGCATTCTGGGTAGTTATGGACACGTAGGCGCCGTCCGTAAGCATTGAACTTTTTTTCACCAAACGAATTATTTTAGTTTAGACTAGGGCTCAAACCGTTAGTCCGATTAACCGGTTGCAGACCGGTTACGAAGAATTAACGGTTAACCGATAAAGATAACGGTTACGCAGTAACTTTTCAGTCAATTTTTCAAGTATCAGGTCGTTGCAAAGTATGCACTTTCGCAGGCTGTCGCACGCGTACGCAATTTCTGGGCTGTCAACTCGGCCATATCTGGTCTCTTCGTGTGAGAGTATGTATGAATGAGCATGCAAGAGAATATACATGTGTGCGTTGTACTGAATAGGGTACATTTTTTGAATAAGTCTAGTCAAATATACGGTTAAAAAAGAGTCCGCAGGATTGCCGTGGCTTATAGGTTATAACCGTTAAACCGACCGTTAGCTTAGCAGTTAACCGTTGGGGCTAAAACCGTGACCGTTTGAGCCCTAGTTTAGACCCAACCCCTTCCGCCCTCTCAGAACGTACAAAATGTTGACTTCTACATGCACGGAAAAATCGTTTTCTTAAAAAAAGTTCGATACCTATGGACGACCCTTACTTGGTCACCGTTATGCCCTTTCAATCCCGGAGTGTGACGCGAAAACTTGCCAGGTTTCCCGGTAGCTGCGCAATGGTGCACCATAGATCGACTCGGCTCGTCCGAAAAAATTGTAACCTCACTTGCCGGTTCTAACGATCTTGGGCTCTCTGGAAAACTAAGGCTGTCCCCTATCAATCCAAGGTACCCGGGGATAACGGGCTCAACAGTGAAGAGATACAGATGTGCGTCACGCGTAGGGAAATCCCAGCCCGGTGTGAGTACCGCCCGCCTTGCTGTGCTGCAAGTATGCACGGCGCTGGAGGGAGTTCTGAGTTTTGGCGCCGCGTAGCCTTGGAGCATCGGTCGTATCGCTACGCACGAGTACCACTGGAGAGCTTTGCTCGCCACTGTCCTATAAATTTATAGAAAAGAAAAAAGACCAAGGAACTACAAGTTATGCTATAATGCACACTTACACCACCAGCTACTGAACAATCACAAAAAAATTCTTTTCTTCTACAAATTTATCCTTTAACTCACCATCCAAGTCCATTCTTGCACGCCTGTCCTATATGCCGTCTTTTGTCAACGTCCAACGATTATTTTTCACAGAGCTACAGTCGTCCCTCTCTAATCCGGCACCTTTTGCTACGGCATTTTCTGCTGGATTAACGAGGGTGCTGGATCCTGCCCTCTGACCCGGCCCTACCCAATTGCATGCATGTATTATGTCAAAACGCAGGGTTTTTCCGTGTCGACCCAAGTATTTGGTGCACGGCTTTATATTCTCAACTGTTCTCCAGGAATATACACAGTGATAAAGTGATAAAGTAAAACAGAGAACATGTTCACATGTACTCTTGCACACACATGCACACACACCTGAAAATTGGCAGGACACTACTCCTTGCTAAAATAAGAAAGTATGGTTGACTGCTTAGCCGTTGTCTCCTGGACAACATTGACCCTCTTGAGAAGGCCACGCAAGCAGTCGACATCATGCAGGTCGAACGTTGTAGTTAGTTGTAGAACGTCAGTAGAGTCGGTCAATAGGGACCTTTCGCATTTGCTACGAAACGAATGCGAAACGAAAGTTTGATTCGGCTCGTAATCGTTTCGTTGAAAACAGATTTCAGGTTTCGCAAGTCGTCATGCAAATGTGCATGGCAACTACGAATACGGCCGCGGGCGCCGGTAGCTTGGCGTACGGGTTTTTACACGCACACGTGCATGGATCATGGAATCAAGGGAAAAATGTGTACCTTGCAAAACATGCGTACCTATCCAAATAAATGTGTACCTGACGGATTCGGAGCGTGCCACGAATGAAGAGGCTTCCATTCGTGAAAACGAGTTCTCCGCAGGGACTTTGACGAATCCTCGAACCCAGGTGACGAATCAGCATTCGTTTCGTATCCGTACGCGGGGTGCGAAAGGTCCCTAGTGTGGTGCAATGTTATCGCATGAGCTGATTGTTTAGTAACTGGTGGTGTTAATGGACACAAGAGTACATGAAAACCGGTTTTCATGTACTCTTGGTGGACAGTATAGCGTAACTTACTTGTACCGTAAAGTACCGCCAGAGCGCCCCACCATCTCATCCTTTCGTGGTCGTATTGTGGAGGTGGTCTGCTGTCTGTAGGCCATACGACATGAACCTTGTACACATATTGCACGTTATGCAGTCTATCCGTACCTTCAAGAGGGCACAAGCTCCACACAAAAACCTGCCAAGTGTGACCTTAGTACACTAAGATTCTCACATCGTACACACTTCGTTGCACTCTGCCATACGATTTTCCTTTCTCTGGCTGTAAAATCAAGGTGGGGCGCTCTGGCGAGACGGGGCGCTCTGGCGGTACTTTACGGTAGTTCCTTGGTCTTTCTCTTTGTATAAATTGAGCTAGGGTTCGGAAAAGTCCTAACAACCAACCGAACTGAACTCTCCCGCGCGAGGTTGAGTACAGTTGTCAACTGAACTGAACTCTGAAGAGTAGCCTGGCCTGGCAAGGAGTGCACCTCTACGGTACGCGATTTACGGTACGCGATTTACGACTGCCGGATTATGAAATCAAACTACGTGCAGTTTGAGCGATTCGTTTCAAAAAGTCACTGCCGGAGGCGGAATTCAAATGCCGGATTAAGATGTAGGAATTGAACGAAAAAAATCGGTTTCGTCAGAAAGTGCGCCGGTTGGCAAGGGTTCCGGATAAACAAGTGCCGGATTAGAGAGGGACGACTGTATCATGTTTTTTACAGTGGTGTATACTGCGCTGCACGTGTGTTCCTGTCGCTTTCTCGCACACAGTCATACATGGTATCATAATCTAATACTATAATTCTAAACTAGTATTAGATTTTTTTTTAATATTTTTTAAAAAAGGTAGTAAGGTCACTGTTTCCGAACACAGTGTCCTCCACCTTGTTTCATGCTGCCAATCTAACAATAAGATGTATCTGTGTCGCTCTCATTATAGGTACCACAGGTGGAATCCTGATAATTCTAACCCCGAAATGCCAGGGGAAAGCCTCTAATTATCCAACGCCCACAGCACGTTGTGTGTGTCGAAATGCTCGCATTTTCACGCACAGTTGCGCTATTCACCTTAGCCACAGATTTCGCGGACACTGAACTCGACAGCACATTACAGCCTGCTCATGCACACTGTACAGCGAGCTTCGACTTATGCTTTGCCAACTTGCATACGACTTGACAACAGGCAGCGAGTGCGCTTTTTCAGGCGGAGGGCTTCTCCACGCCGCGACTCGGTCGTTAGTTTACTTGATAAGATTCGAATATTATGTCTTTCCTTTTGTTGATTCATTTCTTTGCAAGAATGCTTCATATCTATCGTTTCACTCTGTCGTGTCTGTGTGTCTCTCTGCAGAAACTCTGGGAGGACCTCCAGCCTATCGTCAAGGAGAGAATCGGAGAGACTGATTAGTTCATATATATTTACTGCTGCTGCTGCACATGTGTAGTTTCTGCCTGTACCTAGTACGTAATTGCGTGTTAGTTCATATTTATTTACTGCTGCTGCTGCTTTGCGACGATGACAACAACAATACAGTTGTGCGCTCGTGTTGCGCACCTGCAGTGTGCACACGTGTGTAGTTTCTGCTGTACATGAACCTGGTGCTTGATTGCGTGTTGATGGTCATTGATTGATCTTCGTGCCTATCTCGTTGTGCTGGTGGCTGTGTATTGTGCATGGAGGCGGAAGGCGTGTGTACTCTTGGCTGTGTATTGTGCATGGCTCTGGGGTGCATGGAGGCGGAACGCGTGTGTTCTCTTGGTTGTGTATTGTGCATGGCTCTGGGGTGCATGGAGGCGGAAAGCGTGTGTACTCTTGGTTGTGTATTGTGCATGGTTCTGGGGTGGAATCAGAAGGTGTGTGTTCTCTTGGCTGTGTCATGTTACAGCCATTGTGATGTGCATGTCTGTGAGGCTTTGCTTGCTGGTGCGATCTAGGAAGTTGGTCTTAGCCGACTTATACTTGCGACTCACGGGTGAGGTCTGTACTGGATGACTGTTTGCGTTGTGTAAGAAAGTAGTTGTAAAATATTTTACGATTCTCTGGCGAGAAGGTGCCAAGTCCAGAGTACGTAACCTTCTAATATCAAGAGTATGTACTCTTGGTGCCGTCCTGACTGAATTTCCAGTTGATGTGTTTGTGGTGCAATGCGTTATTATGCTTTTCGCTCAAGTGATTTACAGGCAGTTGTTTGTATTGTACTGGCAGCAGGAGCAGAGTACATAACCTGGTTATGTACGAGCTAGGCTAGCTGAGCCTGGGAGTCAACACACGTGCTTCCTTGGCCTTGCATTGCTTTCACAGTCCACTATCATTTGATTGATTGATTGATTGATTTTATTTAAGGATTGTCCAAAGGCCGCAGAGGCCTATCGAGGGGCTCTCCTGTGTACTGTTTAAGGAAAGGGAGGAAGAGAGAGAGGAAAGGAGATGAGTGCAGTGTATGGCTTGTTAATCAATACTGTCGGGAGAAAGCGGGTATACCAGAAACAGAATACATACAAGTAGAAAATTGTTGCATGAGGGATGTACGGAATTGCCGGGGGTGTTCAATCTCCCGAATACACGTGGGTAATGAATTCCAAACGGATAGACAATGGAATAACATATGTTGACGGGAGTATGTGTTGATATGGGTTTTAAATAATAAATAGTAAGGTCTGCGTGGACTGGAACTGAGGGTGTAATGAAATTCATCAAGGGTATCAGGGCAGACGTGAAGGATGTGGTGGACTGTGCAGAGACACTGGATGTGGCGTCGCCAACAAAGGGACTGCAGACGAGAAAGTTTAAACAAGTTCTCTTTGGGTGTGTGCCAGTCAAGGTTTCGACTGCGGAGGATACATCTGCTGATGCGCGCCTGCAGTCTGTCCATGCAAGTTCTCTCAGCTTGTGTCAGAGAGAATGTCCAGACTGGGCAGGCGTACTCCAGCAGGGGTCTGACATACCCACAGTAGAGACTGAAAATGACCTTCTCCGGAAGACGGTGGGACATAAATCCCAGCAGACAAACTCGTTGCCGGAAGGAATGTATGACGTTCTTAACATGGGGCGAAAATGTCAGGGTAGACGTGAGTAATACGCCAAGATGTGTGTGCTCTTGTGTACTTGGGACGTCAGCTGTTGAAACTTGTAGCGGCGACGGAAGAGGTGGCATTGATGTTGCCTTCGCATGGATTGACAAATATGCAGATTTGGAACCATTAAACTGGCCACCTACGGAATTCGCCCACGTCGAGCAAGACGTGAGGTCTTTCCGTAGCTCGGTGGGTGTGCAGGTGGGGACTCGCTCCTTCCCTACCGCTGTATCATCAGCGAAAAGGAAGAGGTCACAATACCGTACTGCTCTGGCAAGGCTGTTGACATACAGCACAAACAGCATTGGTCCTAGATGGGATCCTTGGGGAACCCCAGAGTGCAGCTTTCGCTGGTTGGATGTAGCCAGACCAATCTTGACCTCAATTGATCTGTTGAATAGATAGCTGGAGAACCACTCCGTAGTCTCTGGTGTACACAGGTTTTGCATGATGTGAACGAGGACACGATGGGAGACCCGATCAAAAGCTTTGCTAAAGTCCAAGAAGACGATATCATAGCACGACTTCTTGTCCATAGCTTTGTAGGCTTTCTCGAGCAGCATAAGGAGCTGATCGGTTGTTGAGCGATTGCGTACGAAACCAAATTGCTGTCTGCAGATGAGTTTGTTCATGAATACGAAATTGGTTAGCTGCAGGTTCACGAAGTGGTCCAGTAGCTTCCCAAGAGCGGGTATCAGAGATATCGGACGGTAATTTGTGGGTAGATGTTTGTCTCTGTCCTTCTTCAAGATTGGGATGACGGTGGCAGTCTTCCACGCTTCTGGGAAGGTGTGCAAAGTTATGCTAATGTTGAAAAGGGAGGTGACAGATTTGGAAATTACTGATGCGGTTTCTCGGAGCAGCCTGTTGGGTATGCACCCTCCTGACGCTTTGCGAGTGGGCAATTTGCGTAGAGCTTCAAATACGTCTTTTTCACGTATAGGTGTTAGGCAGAAGGGATCTGCTGGCATGGGTAGAGCATTATCCAGCTTGTTGGTGTCAATATTGTGATGCGGGCTGCACTGCGCTGCGAAGTGGCTACAAAGCAGATCTGCCTTTCCTGTCTCTTCTACGACATGCACACCACTGTCGTCAAGGAGGGCTGGGATGCACTGTTTGGGACGGTTGATATTACAGAGGGATTTTGCTTGATTCCACCAAGTAGCGGATTGGCGTTTCTTTAGGAGGTCGAATCCGAGTTGACGGAAATAGTGTTTTTGGCTAGTCCTCAGAGAGGAAGTGAATGCATTTCTAGAAAAACGATACAGAGTCCAGTCCTCTGGGCGTCCGGTGGCCTTGGCTCGCTTAAAGAGACGATTGCGAGTCTTCCATAGTTTGTGGTGGTGTGACGTGAACCATGGTCTGCGGTTCTTCTTATGTTCCTGCTTTTGTTTAAGCTTAAGTGGAACATACTTGGCAACTGCGGCGATGAAGTAGCTTTCCCATGCTTGCCAAGCACTGTCTGGCGAGGTGGCACCCTGCACGCATTCATAAAGAGGGAGACTCAACAGGTGGTAGCGGAGGGCCCGAAAGTCGGTTGCGGCGTAATCGTAAACGCTGGTGACATGTGTGCGTGTTCGCTGGGGTCTTATGTCTGTAGTTAATTGGAACAAAACTGGACAGTGGTCAGCTACTGGTGGAAGAACACGCATGTCGGATATGCTAGGCGAGTTGTTCGTCATGACAAGGTCAAGAAGAGAGGACGTTTGTCCTGAGGCGGAGTAGCGTGTGGCTTGGTTAAGTAAAAGTTGATGGAGCCCCAAGTCATCAAGGATTTTTTGAAGCTTCACACCTTCTACAGAGTTCTGAGTTCCCTGAAACCAAGAGTTCAAGTGAGCATTGAAGTCTCCACAAACAACGAGTGTAGCTTTGCGTGCGTTCAGAGCACTACCAACTGATGCGGTGAACTTTTCCAGGAATGCATCGATGTTCTGATGGGGAGGACGGTAGAAACAATACACAATGATTTGCTGTTTACCGACTTTGATATCTACACAGATGTTCTCAAAAGGTGGATCACACTCAAGTGATTTGCACCTATTGATGTAAGTTTCCAATGTCCGATGGTAGTAGATTGCCACACCACCACCACGAACCACGGTTTCGGAGTTTAATCGTCTATCTCGACGCAGGCAGTTGTAGCCAGGGATAGCTGTGTGTGCCTCCGAGTGGTTGGCGTTGAACCACGTTTCAGTAAGGCAGAGGATGTCAAGTTGTTGCGATATGAGCAGATGTTCTATCGTGTGTAGTTTCTTGACAGCACTCTGGCAGTTGAGTTGACCGATTTTCAAGCGGGTTGGTGGAGAAGTACTGGGGCCAGTGGGGGTGCAGGCACAGTAGCGCGTCGGCTGGAAAATTGGAGCATGTGGATTCAGTGTGGTGAGGGTGATTAGTGATAGTTGTCAAGATATTTGTACGGGACGTGATTTGCAGGGGTCATTGTAATGTAGGGATAACTAAAGTCTAGTGAGATGGTGGACCGGTGGTGTGAACATTATTGACCCACCCCGGGGCCCTGAGTAGTCATTGTTCGTTTGCTGGCAAGAGAAACTTCCTCGTCTGGTGATATTTCTCCTGCTTCCAGTCTGTTTCGTTTTGCGGTTCTGATTGCTGAGTTTTGGCTTGCTTCGTTTGTGAGGTTAATGATGGGGACACTCGATTTCTCGCCAGCTGGGTGGCTAGAGGTGGAGCTAGAATTGACTGGCTTATGGCTGGGTGGTTCAGGTTTCTGGATGGGGGCAGTAGGGGCATGCTGGGAGTCATTTACATGTACGTTCTCTTGGAGATGCTCTTCGTCGTCGTTGTCCTGGGTCTGCTCTGTAGCTGTGGTGTCACTGGTTCCGTCACTAGTCTGGTTTTGGCCACAGGTGTCGGGAGGTTGTACGGGTTCATTTGATCGCATACGTTGATCTTCGTGTAATGCACGGTCGCTGGTGCTGTCACTAGTCTGGTTTTGGGTACGGGTGTCGTAAGGTTGTACGGGTTCATTTGATCGGGAGGGTCGGCCGGATCGGGTGCGTAGATCTGCGTGTGACCCAGGGTCACTGGTGCTGTCATTGGTCTGGTTTTGGGCACGCGTGTCGGAAGGTTGTACGGGTTCATTTGATCGGGTGCGATCTTCGTGCGATGCCGTACCACAGTTTTTTGCAATGTGGCCAGCCTTTCCGCATGTCCTACACGTCTGCACTTGTCCCGAATGCCAAATTCTGCAAGGTGTGTTCCCTTTGATGTAGCTTGGGATGGATTTTTTTAATTTTATCTGTACGTATCGTGTGCCTGTTGCCAAGACTTGGCCGTTCTTCAATTTCACGGTGCCGAACGTAACCGCCCCGACTACCTCGCCGTACTCGCTGAGCACGGAAGCTAGCTTCGGTGAGGCCACGAAAAGGGGGACGTCATGTACATGCAGTGTCGTGACCAATGGCGCCAGAGGTTCTACATTCACTTCCTTACCGGCAAGCTGCAGTCCTTTGCGAATCAAGTGGTCACAGTCGGTGGGTTGCTGGACGGTGATCTTGCAGTGTCTTCCGCTAAACTGTACTCCAAGCGGGCAACATCCTGGAGCCGAGACTTGACATGCCGCGTACATTGATTCGTACCGCTTTTCTAGAGAATACGAGGAAAACTCACTGGGGACCGTCAGAATGACGGTTCTGGTCCGCAGCTCGCCAGGCGACAGGCCACCCGGTAGCTTGCCGGCCATACCACTTAATGGCGGCGAAAAGTCCGGTAAACACACTTAATTCCTTAACCACCTCGGAGCACTTAAATAGTAAACCACACTCAAAAACCATGATTTGATGCTTTTTTGGATAGAGCAGGAATGCCATGCATGGATCACATGCCCAGGTGAAGCTTGGGAACAGGGAGTAGTAGGTCTACCAGTGGGTATTTTACTACATGTACGAGTACTCCCTGATTCGAACCACATACTAGAGTCAGACTTCGCTTATCCGGTCCTCGTTTATCCGGATCCCTCACCATCCGGAAGAAAATCGTTGGTTACCAATAAATATATATATTATAGATGATATGCCAAATAACGCGCAACTAGACTTGGGAGGGCATTGCAGAGTAGTTGCATACAAAGTTCAAAGTTGTACGGGTACCTGTGACTTGTACTCCTGCAGAGCTCAGGGACTACCCTCTACACATTGTAGTATAATGTGTATGCAACTTGTGTGCAATGCCCTCTCAAGTCTAGTTGCACGTTATTTGGCATACTAGTATCATCTATTTACAGCATACTAGTATGCCATGCATACATACAGTATCAGTGTGTTCGATTATCCGGTTCCCTCGCCTATCCGGATATTTTTTGGTGGAAAACGGATGTGTGCGGTTATGCGTGGTCTGACTGTACAATTATAAATTTTAGTATCTCGTATGCCAGTATAAATAAACCATGCTCTAAGTTATATGCTGACAGTGTATAAAAATCAGGCTTCTAGTCGTATGCGAGACGGGCTTTTATACAAGACAATACAGTACACTAATCATTGGCTGGCCACATGCAAATGGAGAAAAGAATGCATGCAGGCCACCGTCGATCAACGGCCTTCCGACTTCAACTCCCTGTTCCACACCATTTAGCACACCAGCAGCGGACTACAGGAGTCCGGATAGAATTCTAAGTGCACTTGCATGTACAAGTACAAGTACTCTGAAGCACATATTCATATGGTCACTTGGTTTTAAAACCTGAAAGGAAAGGGGGAGCGAAGCAAAGAGAGTATGACCACTTCTCAGCTGAAGCTTAAACTATGTGTGCGTGCGCGCGCGTGCAGGCGAAGTTCCTGATCACGCTACACCTAGGGAGGGGAATGTAAAGAACAGCCGTCCACAGACGGACCGAGTGGCAAAGCGTGAAAGAGTACGCAGCGTGGTGGCTAATTTGGCGAATAAATCATCAGATAAGAATAATATAATTATTATTATAAAAAAAACAGGTTTTGGGCCGGTATGAGTAGATCAATAAACCAGTTTGAATGGCAGCAGAGTAGGTTGAGTGGGATAGGTCGGTTGCGATAATATGCACGGACATTTTTCATGACTGATGAACTAATTGAAATAGTGCCATAGTTGCAGCGTCGACAATGAGAGTAGTAGACGTGTAGCGCACCGACAATTATTAGAAAAGTATGTTTTTTTCAGGGCGGGGGGATGGGGCCCTGCCCAACACACCCATCGGGCAGGGCAGAGGGGAATGGGGCCCTGCCCAACACACCCATCGGGCAGGGCTGAGGGGAATGGGGCCCTGCCCAACGCAACCTAGCAGTATGCAGTATAATGCATGCGCAGCGTAGCAGTGCATCACACATATTCTTGATGAGGCCACAGTTCAATGACCGGCCATTCCACTATAGCAGCAAAGCGAAGGATAATAAAAAAAATAATAAAAAACAAAGTGAAAGAGAAAGTCTGGTCTAGCGATATAATTATCACGAAACCTGCATGACCCCAGAGACAGCAAGGAGTGTGTGAGAGAGTGAGTGAGTGAGTGTGTGTGAGAGAGTGTGTGAGTGAGTGTGTGAGTGAGAGAGTGAGTGAGTGTGTGTGAGCGAGAGAGAACGCGGCAGTGGCGAACATGCTCGTACCACAGCACCGACCAGCATGCACAATGCACTTGTGCACGAGGCACTCGAGCAGAAAAAAGACAAGAGCGTTGCCTCTTATCGCTATGGCACAGCTGTGAAACCCAGGATTGAAGGATTCACTAACAGTAACAACCACACCCGTCCATGCTGAGGACTTTGGGTGCTGCAACAAACTGCGTTTCTAGAAACTCTACGCAGACTACGCTTCACGAAGACTTGCAGACGCAGACAAGACACGCCACATGCCGTTGGAGCAAGGAGTGGCACTTCCAGACACACACACACACACACACACACACACACACACACACACACACACACACACACACACACACACACACACACACACACACACACACACACACATACACACACACATACATGCATATATACACATACACACACATACACACACACACACACACACACGTATCTACGGACAGCTGGCACGCAGAACAATCCATTCACCGTCGTTCGAGAGAGAGAGAGAGAAGCCAGCTGCGAGCTGACCTCCTGGTTCGGACAGTCCAGGCAGCGGGAGGAACGCAGTTCAACTCCCACTCGGGTAAAGAGTCACGGTTGCTATGTGACCCGACGGCCGGATGGTCTAAAAACGGGAAACAACAGACAGGAGAAGACAATGTCCATTAGAGACACAGGCCATACAGCGTTGTCGGGCGCCAAAGAACGGAGCGCCGACAAACGGCCAGGCTAGAATTTCATCACGCACAGCATACCAGTGTATACACGGTAACTCAACTGTGCATAGACTGTAATACATGAAAATAAGAATGGTCTAGGCTAGGAGGCTGACCTCTCAGTTCTTCGGCGACCGACGGTACTGTACATCGGCACTTTACAATGAGCTGGATGACTGACCATAGCGTGCAGTACACAAGCGAGCATTGCCAATACTGTAAATATACAACATTTCGGCATTCCACGATTTTCGACATTTCGGCAGCGACTTATTTTGTTATTTTCAGCACTGGGTTTAATACTAGTAGGCCACCAAAGCCGATGTGAACAATTTCATCGGCGTTTTAATTTCGGCGTTTTGGGCCGGCGCCGAATATAGCCGAAATTAAATAGCCGCCGGAGTTGTGTATATTTACAGCACGGGCTCGGCCAGCCCGTCCAGCATTCCGGAGAGCACTTCAACGACATGGACAGATCATGATGCAGCATGAGAGTTCTGCGCGCACGTACATGGTGCAGTGCACTGTCAGACCAGGACTGGAAGGTGCAAACTCCCAATTTTCATTTCATTTAGACTTTATTTGAAGGATTCTCCAAAAGTAAATGGACACGTATCGGGGGAGTTTCCTGGAAGGGTGGATGAGACGAAAGGGAAGTGAAAAGGGGCTAGGGAAAAATAATTAGCAGAAACACTGCTCAAGGAAAACTACAGATAAAACACACCAGGGAGAAACAGAATACATGACGAGCAATAGATATGAAAACCAATGGAATCACACTTCAGTACGGTCAAAGACTGGACGCCTGTTACTTGAAGTTTCACGCATCGTATCGAGTACATCGCTCTGCGCATTCTCAGCGCATTCTCAGTGTGCACTCTATTCCAGCTGCCTCCACCAGCCCGGTTTGTACTAAAGAAGAAGACCGTAAAAGTGAGAGTTTTTTGGTGAGCAATATCGCGGTATTTCCCTAACTCAACGGTTCGGTAGCGCGAAAATTTCGGTAAACCAGCTTTCCAGATCTAAAAAAAGGCATTTTGCCCACTGGGTCGTGGCCGTCCTCCAAAATGTGCTGTGCAGTCCGATACTGGAACGCCTTTGTCTGCGTCCAGTGTAGATGTACGCATGCGCGCCTCCGCCTCGACGGGCGGGGAGCTTGGCCCATCTCAGACAAGCGTGAGGAAGCGAGGGAGACCGTCTCGAAAACCACCCAATGTGACACTGGAGCTCATAGACACCGGAAGAGTTACCAGAAGCAAGGTGAAGAGACGGAGTACTGGGGATCTGAATACGTCGATAATGGAAGTGACAACAACGATCAACAAGAGGAAACGAGGAAGACCAAGAAGTGACACGAAAACGGCCATGAAATCAACAAAAACGGACATGAAATCAACGGACGTTGGAGGTGTGGACCGGAGCAACCAACCAAACAAGCCTAACGGAAGAGAACAACGGCAGGCGTCGAAGGTGACAGAGCTAAGTGATCGGACATCGTCCATCAAGCGTCATTTGTCGGGCAGTGCTAGTTGTCGTAAGTTGTATAGTGATGATATCTTTTCGATTTTGACTCGTGGAAGGTCTAAGTTACATCTTGCTGTGTTAGAAGCTCTGTATATTCGTAAACTAGATCCAGAACTATGTGTACAGAAGGAGAATGTGTTATCGTTGCAGTTGTTTGGTGTCACACCTCGTGAAAGTGTGACAAGTGTTCCCTGATGCAGACCCTGTGATTTGAAAATAGGTGGCGAGTGATCTATCGCTCTCCTCGCCTGTGTCAGGCGAGCTGTAGGAGAGTGATCCAAAAATTCTCACTCCAACAACACAGCACATTATTGATATCATTTTTTTAGAGAAAAAATTCTGGATGCTTTCTGAATTTCCACCATTGTCTTGAAAGATGACAGCGGTTGGCCGTGAACTGCCATTAAATATGCAGTGTGGAAGAGCTTTTCGTATGCGTCCTCCGCTTGGACTAGAATAGCTGTGTGGATGCGTGGCTGCTGAGGCGCTTGTGTTGCCTTGCTCCCTGATGCAGACGTCGACGATGATTTGTCGGTGTCACCCAATAGCTTCGCATGGCTCACTCCGATGCTATGCGCCTACATGACAACAAGCGAAGAAAACAAGGAGAATGGTCGCGAGTCCGATCGACTTTACTTTCGACATTGAATTGACCACTTACCTGTCCAGACAAATGTCGAGTGACAGCGTGCTTCGTCATGTAGTCCGATCCCTCCACAAACCTCAACGCATCGACCTTCGCTTGACCTCTCAGCCATAGAGTCGCTCCGGATAACGTCAGAATACTTCGCACACGACTTGCACCACACTTTCACGACCAGCTCTTTACCTTCCTTCTTCGCCGAGTTGAAGCCTATGTCCTCATCTACTTTCCAGCTGAGGAAAGTGGACAACTGCACACTGTTCCCTTTCGACATTTCTACTGCTAGCAGCAGCAGGAGATCACCAGCAAGGGATCATGTCGCAAGGAAAGAAAACAACTGGTATGATCAACTCCAGTTGACCAATTGGCCTTTTATTCTAAGAGTAAGAGGACGAAAGCGCCATTTGGCCCTTTTGGGTGCATTTACTTGCAACGCATGCACTAGCAGAACTTCCAGAACTACTAGTCTATGTCAGACTGCGGTCTATCTTGCTACTCGGACCCGCCAGGCGCTAGTTTAGAGGGTTGTACGGACCCCTGCGCTGCATATGCAGGGGTCCGTAAAACCCGTTGAACTGGAGTGTTTCATGAGTGGTGGTAGATCTACGCGGCACAGCTCTGACTAGTTCAAGCCGCAATCATTCATCCAGACGTGTGAAATGCCCCGAGGTCATGCCAGGCTAGCTGGGCGCCATGCCAGTGCAGTGCCTGTGTCACACTCACAGTGTACGTGCAGTGAACCAGTTACTTGCCTACTCAGTACTGTGCATGTCACTACACATGACTAACTCACTGTCTAGTCTGTTTCATAACAGCGCGAGCGGGCACAGTTCCGGCCTGCGCACGGATCGATGAGTGCACTTGACACCATACACTCGTACTAGTCATAGTACAGTAGTAGTTGCGCTGCACTCCGAAAAGCGTACATGCAGCCAAAAATAGTTTCAGGCGCGCGACAAAAAGTGCACCTTCCAAGAAAATAAGGCGCGCTGGCGCGCGAGAGCGATCGCTCGCCTCAAATCACAGGGTCTGCCTGATGTGTTCAACGTGTTTGTCTACAACTTGCAGCTGTTTGTTTTTGAGTTTTTAACACTTTAATCATTTTTTAACACCTATGTTGAAGTGTTGACTTTTTCTTTCTTTCATTCTCTATATAGTTATGTGTTTTTCTAATTTCCGACATTCCCTGTACTATCCTGAAGAGAAGGGAAAGAAAACGTTTGATAGAAAAAGTGTCTACTGAATTGTGTGGATTTGCGTCGTTGCATGCGAATACGTATTACGAAATAATAATAACTTTATTAGGAAGACCCAAAGGCTGACCGCCTATCGCGGGGTCCGTCGCATTGAAAGATGATGGTACTTACATCGAAGATAATATTCTGGTAGCAGTAGCAACAGCTGTTGCCAAATAAATTGTTGGCGTTGGTAGAATCATTCCTGCATGGTCACAAGGAGATGGGAGGTAGACACACACAGACGATTTAGAGCTAACACCGTCGTGAACTTCAAGCGGCAGCACAGAATGAAACGGTGCGATTCACAGGTCAAAGGACCCTCACTCCCACGAGCGTTTCCTTTTTTCGGCCAGCAGTGTTACGCACACACGAACACACGCGCACGCACACACACACTCACCTGATCACCACGATGGGAGAGAACGAACGGTGGCCTCCGCGAAACGCCACGATTTCTTCCCACTGTCGCGTGATAGATATGTATACGCAAGCAACCACACACATGCGTACACACATGTACACACACGCATGTACACACACACGCATGTACACACACACACACACACACACACACACGTACACACACACACACAACAGCAACAGCAGAAGTACGATGAACAAGAGCACACAGAAGAACAAGAACAGGAACACCAGAGTCCTAACGCACAACTAACAAACTAGCACACAGACAGACAGCGAGCCAAAACAACACACAGCATTTACAGTCAACTACGCTATTAACGACTGCGGATATAACGGCAATTCGCGAATAACGACAGAATTTCCATGACCAGAGCAAAGTCCCATCCATCTGTAATACATATAACGAGACTTCGGGTTTAAGGACACTTTGCGAATAAGAACACTTTTCTGATACACCGCCGAGTGTCCTTACCGTAAAGTACTGTTGATCCGCCCTCTCTCTAATTCCCGCCCTCTCTCTAATTCCCGCCCTCTCTCTAATTCCCGCCCTCTCTCTAATTCCCGCCCTCTCTCTAATTCCCGCCCCTGTCGATTTTCTACCTGTGAAGCGACTTCGACGTGTACAACGAAATACGATGTTGAACCGACGCATGCACTGCTGTACACAATACTTGCCAATCCAGGATGAAAATGTGTACAATCCAGCAAATCGAGTCTGATCCTCTACGTTGTTGTACATCGTACTGCACTTAACAGCCTTGATCTAATTCCCGCCCCCTGCCGAAAACCCAGCTGGGAAGCGACATGGCGTGGGGGGCGGATCAACGGTACTTTACGGTATATGCGAAGTTGACTGTAATAATGTCTTTGTCTTACCTTTGTGCATGAGTTGACAAGCATGCCTTGCTGCATGGAGAACTCTACCATGGAGGAGCTGGACGGGTCAACGTCGGGAGTATCTGCCATGGCATACATGGCACCAGCGGAAGCGGTGGTGGCAGCGGCGGCTGAGGCGCCGGCACTGGAAACGGTGTCCGAGGCCGTTGCTCCGGCACTGGACAGGTCCAGCGCATCAGCAGAGCCGCTGCCTGTGCAAGCGCACGGCACGTCGTGTGACATGCACATACACACACACACACACACACACACACACACACACACACACACATGCGCAAGCCATAGGGAGAAAGGGGAAACCCGATATTCGTCAGTGTCATCACACACTTATATACAGGCATACACAGGTGAATACACACTCACAGACATACAGACACACAAGCACACACATAACAGTACTGATGCAGGCAAAAGTGAATGGAAGTTAAGACTTACACAACAAGGTTCAATTGAGGCAAAACACATACAGGACCCAGGCCTTCTCAAGGATATTGCAAAGGAGAGACTTTTAACGGGGAGGAAGTCGTCCCAACATTTTGAGAGTCAAGAGTAAATCGCAAGCTTATCGGGTGACTTGTTCACACCGCGACTCGGCATTGCAAATCACTTCCTTCATGAAAGGTTGAGCTAGCGTTAGCAAAATACTGTCCACGGTGAGTTTTTGTTTTGTTTCAGGATACACACTTACCACCGTTGCTACCCAAGAAGACCTCGAAATTGCACCGGTGGTACCTGCAAAAACAACGGGTACAAACACACACACACACGCGCGCGCGCGCACACGCACACACAAGAAAAATTCAAAAGGAGTTCGCCGCCCATGGTCAAGTTGAAGTGGCCTATAGTCAAGTGCACACTCACCCCTGTCTCCGGCTACTGTACTTGCCTGAATGAAGAAATGAACCGAACTGGACATACTGTACAAGCAGAAATATTCGTCCGGAATTTAATTTCGTCCAAGGAGCTTTTGGACTAAATTAAATGCCGGACTAACGTCGATTTGTCCAACTTTTCAATACACTCTTACGATCCATGGACGAAATTTTCAACCGGACAAACTCCCCTTTCTTTGGAGTTTGACGAAATTATCGACCGACGAAATTTTCTGCCCGTACTAGACTTCCATTGGAATGACCGGAGCCGGCGCTCTTACTTGCTAATCGGGGATTCACACACACGGGTAAACCTGAGGTCACGGGACAAGGTAAAAGTTCAGACCTTCGGTCAACGGAGTGGGGCCGGGCCGTTCACACCCGTGGTCAGCTTTGCCTTGGCCGCACGTTTGGCCATGAACTTGTGGCGGGGCAACTCAAAAAATAATCTGTACTGCATTTTTGTAGTACATTCTGTACTGTATCTTGCATTCGCCATGCACGATTTT